TGTGAAATAGCAATGGGATGCTAATATTATCATTAACATACATTAATTAAAGAAGAGTTAGAGTTAGTCAGTTTAATGCAGCAATTAAGTATATAAAAAAAAAACATATTAAAAATAACAAATAATTATGCCTTCTGACCAGATATAAATCCTATAATTTTTCGACCATCAAAGCAACTACAGCCAACTCACCTCATCAACTTTGAGTTGAGTTGAAAACTTACGAAGCAACTGAAAAACTGGCTTTTTAAATATCTAATTACTGCAAACTGTAGGCTTATGTTAAAATATATGGAAAGAAAACAAAAATTGGCAGAACTGAATACAGACATTGGCTTTGAATATTCAGTATTCAATTCTGCCACAATGGTAACATTATTGAACTATATTAGCTAACATGAACTAAGATTAATAAATGCATTATAAGTATTTTTCATTGTCCATGTTAATTTCAACATTTAACACATTATAAAATCAAAAGTTGCATTTTAACATTATTGAAATTAACAGTTGTATTTTTATTAACTAATGTTAACAAATACTGTAACAAATGCATTGCTTGTTAACTAAATTTAACTGACAGACCTTATTGTAAAGTGTTACCAATTATCTTCATATTTTCTCTTCATAAAATGTGATATTTGTGATTAATATCAATTAATTTGATGTTTTTTTTTTTTTTTTTACTTTTAATAATTAATTATTTTATTAATGGATAAAAGGAAGATTAAACTTATTTTTCCAATATTGTTTTTCTGGGGTTAATGGGTTATTATATAAAATTTTAAGATTTTAAATATTTTAATTTTAACATTTAAAATTAAATTAACATATGAAGAGTTTATTTGCAAAAGCAGATAACTCGTTTTTTTTTTTAATTTTCAAAAATCAAATTTTTTATTGTGTTTTATTGTGTTAGTTGGCTAGTATTTTTTGGTTATTTTTACCTAATCAAAATAACCCAACTGCAGTTTGATTGAGATTAATTGGAATGCACAATGAAAAAAACATGGATAAAAGGAGGATTAAACTTATTTTTCCAATATTGTTTTTCTGGGGTTAATGGGTTATTATATAAAATTTTAAGATTTTAAATATTTTAATTTTAACATTTAAAATTAAATTAACATATGAAGAGTTTATTTGCAAAAACAGATAACTCGTTTTTTTTTTTAATTTTCAAAAATCAAATTTTTTATTGTGTTTTATTGTGTTAGTTGGCTAGTATTTTTTGGTTATTTTTACCTAATCAAAATAACCCAACTGCAGTTTGACTGAGATTAATTGGAATGCACAATGAAAAAAACATGATTTTTGAAAATTGTTAAAAATGGCGTTATCTGTTTTTGCAAATGAACTCTTCATATATTCTCTGAAAACAAGTCTATGTCAGACAGCTTTGCTTATCAAGTGCATTTATCTCATTTAAAGGATGCTTATACTGTACATTTTTACTGTAAAACAAGACTAAGTTACTGATTTAGAAAATGATTTTTGCAATAAAGGACTTCTGCATTTGACACTGAAATCTCTGATTTGAAATCATCTGACTAAAGGCTAATAATACCACAAAAAACAATGGAAACAAGTTAAAACATCTCATGACCGTCTGTGTGCTGTGAACTCACGCTTCAGCGACCGCTCACAAACCTCACTGACTCTTTGTGCCTTGTAAGGCAATGCTAAGTAACCTCTTTATGGCTTTGTTTTCCTTCTTTTTTCCACCTTCTAGTTTCATACGTGTATATTAGTCATGAGATTGCATAACTAACCCACAGAAAACTGCCACCAGAACACATGCCTCTTATATATTACACAAGTCACCTAATGAGGCAGACAATGCCTGTGGCTCTTCCACCATCGTCAACGTAATCACCGCTGACATCACTTCCTGTTTTCTCAAAGCACGTACTGGCTTATCCATCACGCCTCAGTAAACACAGACAGACATAAAGATCACCTGAAGAACGCATGACATTAAAGGCAAACACTTTTTACCTCTTCAGCTAAATCACCGTTCCTCGTACACAATCTGCGTCCAGTCTGTGTTCATTTAATGCAATATGATCAACGATACGCTTCAAAGGTCTGTGTACGCTTCCAGTCACTTATTAACAAAGAAAATCGTGTTCCTATTTCCCTCATTACAAACCCGATCAGAGTCTAATGCATCGCTCAGAGGCCCAGATGACAAGTGCAGTGTCAACACTGAGAGATGATGAACATGAGCTCAGAAATACCACAGATACGGCCTGAGAGAGCAGTTAAACATGAACACAAAGAGCTGGACTGATGGAGCCCTGGTACATACAGTATATGAGTGAATCTTACAAGATGTGATATTTCACCCTGAAATCAAAAAAAGTAGATATTATATTTTGTATGAAGTAAATGAAGCTGTGGCATTATTAGTATTATTTCATCAAAATTAAGCCTATTTTATTGATTACTGTAAATGCAAAAAAGAAAAACATTCTAATATATGTACTATATAATGGCATAGTATATATATAAGTTAAAGGGGTCATATGATGCTTTTTTAAAGATCATTATTTTGTGTATTTGGTGTAACAGAATATGTTGACATGCTTTAATGTTCAAAAAACACATTATTTTTCAAATACTGTACATTATTGTAGGTCCAGGAAAACTTGAAATCGCATCATATGACCCCTTTAAAAATAATTTACATTTCAGAACCAAATCAAAATCAAATAAACATGAACTGAGACAAACTTTTGTATTTTAGCAAAGGCAACATTTCTCATTTTAATTTAGTTTAAATTTAATTTTAGTTTACCTTGATGTACTAAAACATCTAAAAATGAAATAAAAATTAAATAAAAAATGTATTGTATATATAACTGTATATATAACAAACAAAAACCACTAAAAATGACAAAAACAGCAAAATACTACAACTTTGACTAAACTTAAAATATATACAAAACTACTAAACTTTATAATTTACTACTACTAAACTTTAAAATAACTTTATACATAAACAAAAATACTAAAAATTACAACACAACAAAAAATACAAATTGCAATAGTTTCTCAATACTAAAACAGCACTGCAAAAAGCTATTAAAAAGCATTTTACAGCATATCCATTATAGCATTTTTAATGTTATATAATAATAACACTAAAAATCATGGTATGTCAAATACTGTTGTTCATTTTAATGAGAATGGCTATAAAATAAAAATGTAACTGAATAACTTATAGAATCAAGAACTGCTTAAATGTCATGAAAATAAGGCGAAAATTCATAATAAGGTCAACTGAGTGTGAAGCTGTATCTGAATGGAGGCCTTTATAGGGGTAAAAGGGCTATTAGAAGGTCTGGAGACATTGAAATAAAACATTTCATGACATGTTCTTAATAAACCTCAAATAAAGCCGTCACAAGTGTTGAATTTTAGTCGCAGCACAATCAAACAGCAGCACATAAATATGCCATACAGACATGAAACACACATAAGCAGAACTAGCACAGGATTGATTCATTCATCATGAGCGGATCACCATGGCATGCCACCTACTGTATCTATACACTCATTTCACTGGACTGGAGTTGGCAGCTTTAGTTCAGGTTATATCTGGAATACATTATTATTTAGGTCATCCTCCAATAAAGAAGGTATCCTTGACTTAATTACCCAATCCCAACTCTACAACTGTCCAATTCCCTATTCCCAACTCTGTTTGGTTCTCATCCTAAATATGCCCTAAAGTCATTTTTTTTAATACAAATATAGATAAATCTTCTCTATAATAATAATAATAATAATAATATTGTTGTTGTTTTTTAATGACTAAACAGGCAACAAATTATAAATTATATATATATAAATTTCCAAGTTTTATCTATTGGAAATACATTTCAGTTTCAGTTTTGCTTTAAATAAATTAATTAAGGCTTGCCATTTATAATACATGTTGTTTATAATGAATGCCATTACAAATTATGTTTATTTTAAACTTCCTGTTCTGTTCTGAATACTGTTATATTCAGAGGATTTGCTGTGGATTGATGAGAACTAAAACTAAAACCTTAAGAAAAACATTTCTTCCTTTGAGATAAATAAATAAATAAAATACAATTAATAAATAAATAAATAAAAAATAGCTACAATTAGCCAATACAACATTTCTCATTTTTATTTAGTTTAAATTGATGAACTAAAATAACCAAACTAATTTTTTTTAAAACAACAAAAAAACAAAAACTATACTGACCTAATAAAAAAACTAATAAAAATGGCAAAACAGTAACTAAAAGTTACTAAACATTTAAAATTAAAATATATAAAAGCAAAAAAATATATAATATAGAAAAATAAAACTAACTCAAATATTAGTGAAAACTATAATAGTACTACAATGACACTAAAATAACACTGGATGTAATGTTTGTAAATATTTTGTTTTATTTACCAGTATTTAACATTACCTCTGAGATAAATAAACAAATACATGAATAAATAAACAAATAAATAAAGTAATAGTATTTTGACAAATATGTTAAATATATATTTTTTTACGTTACTTATTTATTTATTTAAAAATTACTATCACTTTAAGGGTAAAACTTGGAATGTGTAAAAACCACTGGCATTGCACCTTGTTTAGGCATGAACAGAATATACTAGTAGTATGTTTGTATCCAATGGAATGACTTGTAGTTACGGTATAAGATACAGCTGGTTGCCATGGCTATAGTTTACCTGAGGTCCATCTCTGAGACCGTCCTCTGGGCCACGCCCTCTTCAGACTCCTCCTCCAGCGCCGCCTCCTCTCTGTCTACACTATCTGTCTGTCTCCTCAGTTTTCCTGCCCTCCCCCATCCTCTCTTCCTCCCTCTGTCCTCCTCTAATCCTGCTTCCTCCTGTTCCGCCTCCCCAACTGACTCCTCCCCCTCCCTGGAGAGGCTCCGCACCTGCACTGCATTGCTGTACGGTATAAGATACAGCTGGTTGCCATGGCTATAGTTTACCTGAGGTCCATCTCTGAGACCGTCCTCTGGGCCACGCCCTCTTCAGACTCCTCCTCCAGCGCCGCCTCCTCTCTGTCTACACTATCTGTCTGTCTCCTCAGTTTTCCTGCCCTCCCCCATCCTCTCTTCCTCCCTCTGTCCTCCTCTAATCCTGCTTCCTCCTGTTCCGCCTCCCCAACTGACTCCTCCCCCTCCCTGGAGAGGCTCCGCCCCTGCACTGCATTGCTGTGGGCGTGGCCGGCAGAAGCAGAGGTGCAAGCAGCATGCAGAACAAAAATGAGGCACAGTGAAAACAGGTGTCAACAGTACCTGAATGTAAACCGTAAAGTAAGAATGAATGAATGACAACACAACAAAATAACGCAATGCTAACAGTAAAAACAACAGAAGCCAGACAGTATGCACATAAAACAGAACAAAAATGTGTTTCAAAGCTTGCAGAACTGAAATATTCACCTCTAGTTTTGCTCGTGATTATTTGGTAGTATTTCAGTAAAAGTAACTGTGTGTGTTCGCTGACATGGTGCGAATTATGAAAATGTTGGACGACAGACAAATGCTATGAAAGTACACTACCGTTCAAACGTTTGATGTCAGTACAATGTTTTTTTGAAGAAGTCTGTTATGCTTACCAAGGCTTCAATTTGTTTTTGTAAAAAATACAGTAAAAATAATATTACAATTTAAAATAACTGTTTTCTATTGGAATATATTTTCAAATGTAATTTATTCCTGTGATGCAAAGCTAAATTTTCAGCATCATTACTCCAGATCCTTCAGAAATCATTCTAATGCGCTGATTTGCTGCTCAAGAAACATTTCTAATTATGATCAATGTTTAAAACAATGGCTGCTTAATATTTTTGTGGAAATGTGATACATTTAAGGATTCTTTAATTAATTGAAAATTTATTTGAAAAATCTTCTGTAACACTGTAAATGTCTTTCTTGCCAATTCTGATCAATTTAATGCATGCTTGCTTAATAAAAGTAATAATTTCTTTAAATAAAACATGTACTGACCCCAAACATTTGAAAGGAAGTACATATTACATTTAAAACGTATAGAACATTTCAGACAGTCTACGTTGATTTGGTGCCAAACTCACCTAAACCGAACCCAATCTTGAATGCCCTCAGACCCAAATAATGATGAAGCCTACAGAGCGGCCATGTACACACTGCTGCTAAATATGATCCTCACTCCTTTTCTGAGTGCTTAATCCTGTTCTGCACACAGCAGGTATTTATAGGAGTGATAACCTCATTTTAGAACCAAATGTACACCTGGATGATTCAGATATGAGATACATCTTGACCCAAATGCAATTTTGGATACCAGTTTAGCAGACGCTTACTGTATCTCCAAAGTGACTTACAAATGAGGAAAATAACAAGCAATTCATTACAGAGCCAACAATATTTGTATGCAGTATTCAATATTTGTGTAGCCTGACTAATATTCTGGACAAGAAGTGTCCACTTAAACTGAAAGAGGCTGTTTGATTGATACAGTGTCCAGCCATAGACTGTTTTGTGTTATAATTGATAAGTATTTGTTATCTAGTAATAAGTTCTGATTATTTCACAAACATGATTTTATGAACCTTTAAACTTTGTTGACAAACTTACATGCAATATTACATACAATCTGAATTACTTTAACTTCCGTACATTCAAGTTCAATACATACATAGTTCAAATTCAGGAATTATAGGGATAGTTCACCCAAAAATGAAAATTCTGTCATTAATTACTCACCCTCATGTCATTCCAAATCTGTAAGACCTTCGTTCATCTTCAGAACACAAATTAAGATGTTTTTGATGAAATCGAAGAGCTTTCAGGCCCTCATAGACAGCAATACAACTGACACGTTCAAGACCCAGAAAGGTAGTAAGGACATGGTTAAAATATTCCATATGACATCAGGGGTTCAACTGTAATTTTATGAAGCTATGAGAATACTTTTTGTGCACACAAAAAACAAAAATAACGAATTTATTCAACAATTCATACTCTTCCTAAAGATGGCGGCGCGTTCACACGTTGCGGCTTCTCTCTCTCCCCGCTAGTTGTATTTTATATTTAATCTGTATCTATCTGTATTTATGTTCTACTGTTAGTGTTATCTGTATGCACCAAGGGTCTGAGAGTAATGCAATTTCAATTCTCTGTGTGTATGTGTTGTACATGTGGAAGAATTGACAATAAAGCAGACTTGACTTGACTTGATTTTTTCTCTTCCATCTCAGTCTTTGACGCGCATTCACTAGAGTACTACGAGGCATGCGTGTGGTGCTACTGACTCAGGAGCCGGCGTTCTGCCGTAGAACCTGGATGCACTGCGCCTTGTTTACAAACAGAGGAATGCACACGCATGTGTCATGGTACTCTTGCGAAGGCATATCGAAATCGGAAGAGAAGAAATTAAGTGGTGAACCACTGATGTCACATGGGCTATTTTAACAACGTTCTTACTACCTTTCTGGGTCTTGAATGTGGTTGTTGCATTTCTGTCTATACGGGGTTAGAAAGCTCTCGGATTTCATCAAAAATATCTTAATTTGTGTTGCGAAGATGAACAAAGGTCTTGCGGGTTTGGATCGACATCAGGGTGAGTAATTAATGACAGACTTTTCATTTGTGGGTGAACTAACACTTTCAATTGGGATAAGGAATTTTCAAATTTAAGTGGTGCATCATCTAGGCAAAACTGACTGTTTCCAGGTTGACTGCTAAGAAATTTCCTGGAAGCAAGTCAATCAGATCAGATGATTGGCATGCCGTCTGAGGCTGAGACTAAACATACATAAACTTGGTGCCTCGGTTTACCTCCAACTGTTTCCAGCAGTGTTGTTATTACATAACTAAAACTAAAACTAAATCTAAAACTAATAAAATATGATTTTAAATATTCAACTAAAGTGGAAACTTTTTAACTAATTTTCAAACTAACTAAATAGAAATGTTACCTAAATAAAGTAGTAAGGGCTAAAATGACTAAAACTAGAACTGAAATAAAAAAATTAAAGCTAAATAGAAATATAAAAAAACTAATAAAAAGGAGAAAATCACATAAAATAAAACTAAAAATAAAATGAAACTGAAAATATAAAAATAAAACCTAATTCAGAATATTAAGAAATACTATAATATGTAATAAATAGTACTAAAATAACACTGGTTTCCAGACTCTGACATTAGTTTGGTCCAGAACACCAAACAAGCTAAACTATTAACATCCATGTTTCTTGTCAGGAGTCAACAGTCAGGAGACGCCAAAACTTGAGGAATTCACTCCTGCAAATAACTGCGGTTGTCAATCCCAAAACGTAGCAGTATGTACGTGGCCTCAAAGAACACCGTTTTGGAGCCCTCGCTGTGGACTGTTCCCGGACTGAACTGTGACACACAGGTTTGACAGTGATCCTGACTTGAGAAGAGGCTGTCTCACCTGATCTTGCGGCTGCCCCGCGGCCGTTCTGATTGGACAGAGATGTAGCTCATGCTGCTGAATCGAGACGCACTGCTGGTTCTCGACACAGCGGACACGTCGCTGACATCACTGTCCGAAGACTTGGCTGAGAGGTTTTCTCCTCGCTGAGGATCCCTGCCTGAACGCTGCAGAACAAACACAACACATAGCGTCAGATGCTTACAGACAACAAACAGAAAATACAAAGGCGTTAGAGGCCAAGTGGCACTTTCATTTTCAATTATCTGACCAATGGCAAATGGGGAGAAGGGCAATTTTTTTGGTATATTGAAGCTATCATTATTTTTCTGTGCATTACTTCCATGCTAGTGGCACTGAAATTTCACACAAAGAAATAGCTTAAATTAAAATATATACAATGAATTAAAATAATGAATAATAATAATAATAATAAAAATAATAATAATAACAAGCAATAATAAAAACAATAATAATTAATAAACAATAACGATGATATATAAATTAATAATAATAATAATAAATTCAAAATAAATAAAATTCAAATAATATAAATATAAAAAACATAAATAAACAAATATTAATTTCGAATCAATAAAAATAATAAACATTAAATAAAAAAAATTATATAAAATACTAAATACATAAAATAATACATAAATAATAATTCAAAATAAAATTCATATAAATAAACACATAAATTATCATTATTATTAATAATAATAATACATTAAAAAAATCAATTCATGAGCATTCCTTAAGCTCAAACAGTACAGTGTGGGTTTGATTCCCAGGGAATGCATGAACTGATCAAATGTTTACCTTGAAGGCAAATTAAGTTGTATTAGAAAGGCATTAAATACTAATAGCATAAATTGATAATAACATCAAATAATTAGTAATTGATTATTATTTTTTGTTTTTAGAAAAAGTACCCTAAAAAGGACGACAAGCATCATAAAACGAAAAGCCACTGCGTTTATACTAAGGCGTTCCTGCCTGGTAATTCTGTCTTGGACAGACATGGAGAGGTATTGTAGTGTCTTATGTAACGTATTTATTTATAAGGTGCTCATGGCTCGCTATGATGATTATAAACATGTCCTAAATGGCACCTCTATCAGACAGAGCAAACAAACTAAGTCTTTATCTGCTTTTAATAGGATTCTGCAGAACTCATGGACCTGTACAATGTTTTTCATACCACACGCTTAAAAGGATACAAAGAGAGACGATATAGCTATATATGGAGCTGAATCTCAGCACAATGTCCAGTGTACACAAATACTAATGTATATACTGAGCAGAGACCACAAACCTGGAAGACTATATAGATCTATAAACATTTCACAACTGCTGGAAGTGGGTCGCCAAACAAACATCATGTTTAATCTATGATCACGTAAGTTCAAATAAGCAATGTGAATGGCTGAAAAGTGCTCAGCTTTTCTGACTACCTGGACCTAGTTTTACTACAGACTAATTAGTTAACTAAACTAAAAACCACAAACAGCAAACTAAACTATAGCTAACTAAACTAAACTAAGGGGGTGAAAGAAGAGCTTGGTCAAGTAAATAAAATAAATAAAATAAAATAAAATAAAATAAAATAAAATAAAATAAATCATGCACAAACATGCATACATATATTTTAAAATCAATAAATTAAAACAAAAATGACCCCATCTTTATTAAGATTTAAATTTTTTAATAGGAGAAAATTAAAATAATGAATTACAATAAAATTATTATTATTATTATTATTAAATATTAAATTATTCAAGTAACCAGAAGTACTATTAACTGTTATGATCTCTTGTAGCGTGAATGTAACTGATAAATTTATTAGAAATACAAATATTACGACTAGAAAACATGAAAACCAACCAATTTGTGAAATAAATTATGAGCAGAAGCATATACCTGTACTAACTATAGTATAACCATATTTACTCATTTAAAAAGTTTTGAACTGTTTTTCATGTGAAGTATTGGAGCGGTAGACCACTTTTACTTGCCTTGTGATAGTCCTGTTCCAGCCTTGAATCTGAGCCGGTTCCCTGTTTATACTTGCTCATCTTCAGCTTCATCTGCCGTGCTTGTTCCTCCACATCCATAGCACCTACGGAGCACAGCAGATGTCAATGAGTTTGCGTATTTGTTGAAAAAGTGCCTTGTGATGTTGGTGAGGCTAGATGGGATCTGATCTGTTAACCTGTTCACCAATGAAGCATTTGAATAATGTGGAATGATTTAATACAGAAATCTTTCCCATAATGTACAACACTGAACTAACAGCACTAGCTAACATTTGCTCATGAGGAGTTTCATACAATGCAGCATGATCACAGCAAATGTTTCTGAAATGTGAGCATATGAGACATCTGTCTGTTTAATATCAAACTACCCATCAAAAATAAATGCATTTATCATCATTATTAAGGAAGCTGCTGTGTAAATTTCTTCACACACTGGCATACTTTAAATCATGCAGGACAGAGGAGAAGCAATATATGTATAAATAAAATAATTGTAGCAAGTTACAGAGGGGATAGTACAACGTTTAATAATTAAGAAGCTAACTGATCTTTTTTTAGGTACTTTTATGAGAGTTGAAATTTGATTGTGTAATGAACTCACAAAAGTCACAAACCTGACACACACTTTACATCATCTGAATAGTAAAGAATAATTTACTATTAGTAAATCAGAGCAATAAATTCAGTGCATGTTCAAAGTTCAATTAAATCAAATGCTGTAGTTCAGTATAAATTAGTACTAAACACATTTAGTGTTCTAAATGTTTTTAGCATTGTTTTGTGGTCGCTAGGGTGACTGTAGCATGTTTTTATGCAGTTTTAGGGTGTTTGGTGTGTTTTTACATTTACATTTATTCATTCAGCAGATGCTTTTATCCAAAGCGACTTACAATTTGGGGAATACCTCAAGCGATTCATCATAACGAGGTAAATAGACACAGGAAGTGCTCGTAATACCAAGTTTTTTAACATGTTATTTTGGCTGCAAGAGTATTCTAAGCAGTTACAAGGTTGTTCGTGGTTTTCTGCATGTTACTATACAGTTTCAAGGGTTGTTCCTTACTGGCCGGAGTCTCTGTGGTACTAAAACTAATACTGAGACTAATTTTGTTGAAAAGCACAATTTGATGTTTATTCATAGAAAAAAAAGTCACAAACTTCTGAAACCTTTTTGACTGCAAGGCAACAAGCTACAACTAAGCAGCCCATTTGCACAAGCAAAGAACTGAATTAGTTTGTGGCGTTGAGCCGTGTGAAGCAAACTACATCTGTCTTTGTCAGTGCAGGTGCCGTAAATGTCAATAGCAATTTTCTCTTGCCAATAGCAATTGTGCTGTTAAGTAATTAACATGTTCAGCAAATTACCCAATGATTAGTGCTCTCAGAATCATTAGATTAATTGGATTTAATCGCAGCGCTATAGTGAAGTTCATACATGCAGTGTGTTTTTTAAGTTTAATGCCACATTCACAGCTGAAAGTGCTTTCAGAACGCTTTGCATCCTGGGAAATCTTGCTCTAAGTCAATCCGTATACAAAAGTTTAGATAGCTGCAATGCCAAAACCATACAACACACTTCATTCTCTAAAAGAAGTTGTTCAAAGAGAGATGGTAGGAAAAATAAAAACAAGCACACTAATAAAAAAGGATGAAAGTGGATGCAAATGAAACTGAAAATGACATTGAAAACTGAAAAAAAAAACACCTGAAAATAACCATGATGTGATATATCTGCACTTATGCTGTCATGAAGCCAGCTTCATTAGCTCAAGCCATAACCAAGAACTGTATGCAACAATCGGGTTCAGAAGGTTCAATCGGGTTACAAAATCCAATTCCTTTTCTCCACAGAGAAATTAATTTTAAACAATAATATAGTGTGATTCAATTTCATTTACATAAAATAGCATTAAATAGTCAAATTACCCATCATTCTGAGGAGAGATCCACCAATCAAAAAAAAAGGCACTGTTACTGTGGAAATGAAAATCTCTGCAAAAAAAGCTAAGCATCGTCCACTGCCATACAACATTACGAATTACAAAAAAATCAGTCTCATTAAACTCTCAAACAGCTGACATTTATCTATTTACAATACCTGGGCCTAATAAGATTTTTATTTATTTTTTGTAAAAAAAAACAAAAAGCCAAATCAGCATATTAGAATGATTTCTGACGGATCATGTTACACTAAATACTGTAGTAATGATGCTGAAAATTCAGCTTTGGATCACAGGAATAAATTACATTTTTAGAATACATTAAACAGAAAACAGTTACTTTAACATTTAATAATTGTTCACTTTTTTATTATATTTTTGATCAAACAAATGAAGCTTTAGTCAGCATAAGATACCTCTTTTTAAAAAATAAATGAAAATCTCACTGATCCCAAACTTTTGAATGGTAGAGAATAAAGGGATATTTTGCAAATATATTGTTTTTGTGTACCATGCTTGATTTAATTATGTCATTAACAATGTTTCCGTGCCTCATAAAAGACATTAAATATACAGTCTTGCACCTTTTATCTGATGTAATTGTTTTAACCCTATGGAGAACATGACTGGAGAAACAATTCCAGAATCAAGGCTGCTGAAAAAGTATTTTTTTCATTCGAAGAACTCCACAATTTTGAAATGTGTTGAAACACACACATGATCATAATCGCACATGATTATGACTGAAGCTGATAAAAAAAGCTCATGAGCTTCACAACAAAGATCAACTCCTATGATTTGCAATAAAGAAACGAGCTGAATAAAATACACATAAAAAAGGGCAGAGAGAAGGAGTGATGTGAAGACAACCAAACAGCAGAAAGAGATGGTGTTCGCTTTTCAAGCACAGTCCCAGCATTTACTCCTCTATAGTTTTTACACTCATTACTACGTACAAAATGATTACAGCTACTGTAGATTTGAATATATTTAACTGTGTGTACTGCAGTGCAAACTGATAACGGTTGAATCTCACAATGTCCAGCTCTATATACACAACATACTGTATATAATAGTATATTCTAATTGATACGGTATTCCGCTATTAATATTATTAATTTAGATTATTTTTAATGCATATTATAATTTATATATAATTAATTAAAAATATATATTTTAATATGAATATAATTTACTTTAAGCCAATTTTTCTTTCTTTTTTTTACCTTCAAGACATTCCCCGAATCTCATTATCTTAAATCAATTAAACTGTTTTTTCTTTTGAATTGTAGGAGAAACGTATAGAAGCTTGTTCTGCTACTGAATTACAAATTTTAAAAATTAAGTAGAATTTTTTTTTTACAATTGCAAGGTTACATCTTGCAATTCTGACTTTTTTCTCAGAATTGCGTACTAGCATTTGTAAGTTACAAAGTCAGAACTGTGAGTCTTAAAGAGAGATACTGTAAGAAAATATCAGAATGGAGAGCTTTTTTCCTCAGAATTGGACTTTATGACTCACAATTCTGAGAAAAGAAGTAGGAATTGCTGGATATAAAGTCACAATTCCAAAAAAAAAGTAAGAATTGTGAGATATAAACTTCTAATTGCAAGAAAAAAGTCAGATTTGCAAGTTTATATCTCACAATTCTGACATTATAACTTGCAACTGCAAGTTTATGTCCTGCACTTCTGACTTGTTTTCTCAGAACTGTGCAATATACATTCACAATTGTGAGAAAAAAGGTTTAAATCCCGCAATTCTGACTTTATAACTTACAATCTCACAATTCTCACATTATAACTTGCACTTGCGAGTATATATCACACATATATCATATTTTTCTTTTACTTTTTTAAAAATTCCAATGGCAGAAACAAACTTCAATAGAAAAGACATGTTCTCTGTGAGATTAACCCTATATTCATTGTTTATGCGCACACTGCAGCTTGACCTGCTGAAATATCCACAATAGTTTCTTATGGTTTCTAACTGGTCCAAACTAGTCATTAACTAGTCTAAGATTCTCTAGCTGATAAATCAAGTTTCATTTTAGGGTGAATTGTTCCTGAACGGGAGTGCGACAAACAGAGAGGAGCTGAGACACGGCGTGGAGGAAGACGAGACAAGCAAAGCAGAAGAAAGGACAGACCTGAGTTTGTCCGACCGGGGGAGTCCGTGTCTTCTGGGAGGGGAGGGGGGGTGGGGGGTGAGGGGGTCACATCACAAAAAACGGACAGACAGACAGACAGAGGAGAGGGGTGTGAGAGGAGGTATGCAGAAAAAGGGGCAAAAACACACGGGAGGGAACACATCAACAACACCACACAAAAAATGAGGGAAACACAACACACGACAAGCAGATAAAACCACAAACACAAGTTTCAAGTTCCATGATACAAAGAGAAAAGATCATTAAAGAAGAGGGAAAAGAAAAAGAAATCACAGTTCAGAGGGAAAACACGAAGAGCAGCCAGTCCTGCTTCAAAACAAACCCTGAAACACTAGAGGAATGTTAATAGAACATGCAGACAGGAATGAAGAAAAAAAGACCTGTGGAAAGAAAAGAGGGTAGAAGAGAGAGAAGGAGGACAGTCTCCACAAACCCTGAAGAGAAATAACCTTCATTTGATAAGACCAGGTCCTGACATCAATCAGATGTGTCTTTAGGAACATATGGATGCTAAACACAACACTCACAGATACGCTACAATATCCAAGTAAAATAACAACAACCATTTATTGCACAAAATTATTGGCATACTCCAGTTAATTGTTTAAGGCAGTGCTTTAAAATGTAAAACTGCTGTAACTCATGGTCCTGAGTCGTTTCGTTTTGGGGTCAGTAAGATTTTTTTTTTTAAGGAATTAACACTTTTATTCAGCAAGGGCACATTAAATTGATCAAAACGGACAGTACAGACTTTTATGACCATTTTCCCACAAAAATATGAAGCGGAATCACTATTTTTAACACTGATAATAAAAAATGTTTCTTGAGCAGCAAATCAGCATATTAGAAGAATTTCTGAAGGATCACGTGACACTGAAGACTGATATTGAAAATTCATTTTGCATCACAGGAATAAATAGTTATTTTATAATTAGTTATAATTAAATAGTTATAATAGACAGTTATTTT